CAAACTTGTAGATTGTGAGAGTTTACACTTTTTTCACTTCACAATACCACAATTTTTAACAAAAAAAAAAATTACAGTTACTATGCATTGCAATTTTCGAAAAAAAAAAAATTAAATATAATAGTCAAACAGTCACAGGATTTGACCTGTGACCGTTTTTCTGCTGCGCGCTTGCAACATTATTTATGGCCCGATTTTCCTTAAACAAGCCAGGACCGATTTCAGGTCCGGGCGGCCCATGATTCGGCCCACTCGGTTCATGGGCTGAATTACAGGCTAGTTCGCCTCCGTGTAGGCACCTGTTGCTACGTGTTCGGCAGTTGCTGTTACCACGTGTCCCACGTAAACCTCCCCACTTTCCCCACATTCTGGTAGAGTGACCCCCACTCTTCAAGTGGTTAGTTGTACCCATGTTCGCTGTTGGGTGGTTTTCGTCCAACTCATTGTCATTTGTATGGTTAAGTGTAGCATTGGTCTCATAGTGGTGGCGGCCTATGTGAACGTAGGGGGACTCATGGAAGTCAATGGCTCATAGTGGTAGACAGCCTATGTGAACGTAGAGAGCCTTGTAATGGTAGATAGCCTCATAGTGGTAGAGGACCATGTGAATGTAGAGGGCCTCATGGGGGTCGACAACCTCATAGTGGTAGACGGCATATGTGAACGTAGAGGGCCTTATGGTGGTAGGCAGCCTCATGGTGGTAGACGGCCTTTGGGAACGTAGAGGGCCTCATGAGGCTCGACGACCTCATAGTGGTAGAGGGTCTTGTGGTGGTAGGCAGCTTCATGGTGGACAGCCTTGTTGGTCGACGATTGGGGACAATCTCCATCGACCAGGAGCGATGCTGGTCGATGGTCAACCAACTGGGCTGGTCGACGTCAACCAGCCCCATGGCTGGTCGCAAGTCGTTCGTCGACGGCACTCCTCCTTGTACCCAAATTCCTTTCGAGTCAAGTATTTCGATTCATTCAGCTGAATTTCAAGATTTCCAATCGATTTCCCCAAAATGTCATGTTGGGTCAGCTAAATCTTTAAATCAAAATGTAGAAATTGAGCAGGACAGGTTTTTGACTTTTTTGCTCACCGCTATGCGTCGAGCTATGTTGATCACCGGACTTGGTGATTTTGAGCCTTAACCATTTTTGATTTTGAGAGCTCACCACCAGTCCCTAGCGATTATAAACTAGTCAGGTTTTTTACTTTTTTGCTCACCGCTATGCGTCGAGCTATGTTGATCACCGAGCTTAATGATTTTGAGCTTTAACCATTTTTGGTTTTGATAGCTCACCACCAGCCCCCAACGATTTTGAACTAGTCAGGTTTTTGACTGTTTTGCTCACCGCTATGCGTCGAGCTACATTGATCACCTGGCTTGGTGATTTTGAGCCTTAACCATTTTTGGTTTTGATAGCTCACCGACAACCCCTAGCGATTTTGAGCTAGTCAGGTTTTTGACATCTTTGCTCACCACTATGCGTCGAGCGTTGTTGATCACCGGACTTGGTGATTTTTAGTCTTAACCATTTTTGGATTTGAAAGCTCACCACTAGCAAAAACTTCCACTCTTCCTTAGCTATGGGCAAAGGTTCCAGAATATCCATTCCCCACTAAAAGAAAGGACTCACCCTAAAAATGGTTGACTGCTGCTCGACGGGAACATGAATTAAATTTCCATGACGTTGACACGCGTCGCATTTCCTTACCAAT